CACAGCTCTGATCCTGGTCCTACTATGGCCCGACACAGCTCAAATCCTGGTCCCATTATGGTGCCACACAGCTCTGATCCTGGTCCTACTATGGCCCGACACAGCTCAAATCCTGGTCCCATTATGGTGCCACACAGCTCTGATCCTGGTCCTACTATGGCCCGACACAGCTCAAATCCTGGTCCCACTATGGCCCCAAACTTCTCAAATCCTGGTCCCACTATGGCTCCACACAGCTCTGATCCTAGTCCCACTATGGCCCCAAACGTTTCTGATCCTAGTTCCACTATGGCTCCAAACATCTCTGATCCTAGTCCCACTATGGCCCCAAACATTTCTGATCCTAGTCCCACTATGGCTTCAAACATCTCTGATCCTAGTCCCACTATGGCCCCAAACATTTCTGATCCTAGTCCCACTATGGCTCCACACAGCTCTGATCATAGTCCCACTATGGCTCNAATCCTCCACCTCAGACCATTCAGAGATGTAACTATCTGCGTCGCTGTGATCACTGTCCATGTAGCATCAATTATGCTAATGCTAGCTGTCACGTTCTCTGGTCCTGGCCACACCTCCGCTCTCTAACCCCCCACCCTCCCCCCCTCCCCTACCCACTTTGATGCATTTTTCAAATTTCGCCTTGGGGCGGAGTTATCTTTTCACAGGGGGGTAAGACACACTTTAAGCTATAGGAACCCTGATCTAAAAATCTAAATACGAAAAACCAAGATCCCCAACTACCTGTCAATCGTTAAGGGTGGCATCTGGGGTGGCCAATCAGGTGCCAGGCCACTCCAGCCCCTCCTCTGGCTCCGCCCCCGGTTCCTAAAAGTAATTCTAAAAAGTTTGATAAATACAGGCCCTGATTTTCTTAGTTAGGCCTTTGTCTCTTCAGGTGTCTTCCCAGCATTTGTCTCCTGTCCAATCTGCAGCTAAACAAAACAAAACTAAACTTATCAAACCAAACATAAACGTCTCGTTTTCTCCTGTTTCCTGTCAGAAATTCCAGGAAGAAGTCGGGGCCGGCGAGGCGCTGACCTGGACTTCAAACAAACACGTGCTTTACGTTAACGCTGCGGCGTGACCTCGCTTGCAGACTTTACCGCCTCCTCGTTGTGCAACCTGCTGCTGCAGGAGCAGTTACTGCAACACACAGCTGAAGATTTAACATCAGCTGAAACAACAAAGTTTTTATTTTTTAACTGGGTTATTTTTGTATTTGTTCCACTTCTGCTTCGGCTTTATCTTGTTGGATTTTCATTTCTCCATTTTTACGTCTTCGTTTGAGTCCAGATAAGATTCGACTTGGTGGAAATAAAAAGAACTCATTTTGGTTTTGTTGTTTTACTTTTCAGTGTAAATAAAAGAGTTTTATGAGTTAAAAGCTGCTCTGTGAGGAAAATCCACCTCTGGTTCTGTTACGTAAGTACTGCTGGACCGTCATCCGACCGGAACAATCAATACTTGAACTTTACAGGAAAGCATCGACGTGCAGCAGCTGGACCTGAGCAGGACCTGAGCCGGGTCAGAGCCGGGTCAGAGGTTCTGCTAAAGACCAAACAAAGAAAACTGAAAGAAAAAGAAGTTAAATCTGCTCAGATGGCTAAAACTCCTAATTATAAGCTGTTTAAATTATTTATCTCTAAGATTTTAGCTGTTTTCTGTTAATTTAAGCTGTTTTTTTTTTTGCCTTTTTACTTTGAAAGCTATTTTCAGCTAATTTGAATATTTTTCAGCTAATTTCACATTTGAAATTGTTTCGGCTTCTAACCGCATAATTCAGCAAACATGCTTTTTGTGCATCTTTGTGCTAAATTTCAGCAACTTTGTAGGGATTTTTCAAATAATTCCAGCTGTTTTAGCTATTTTACAACAAATTACACCTCTTTGCTGCAATTTAACATATTTTACTCTACTTTTGCTTTCTAAATTCAGTTAGTTTCTGCTACCTTTAGCTAATTTTTTGCTAATTTTAGCTATTTTTAGCCTTCAACACTTTACAACTAATTTGCCTTTAATCTGTTTTATTCTCAGTTAAATTATTTCAGCTGAATCCATTTTAAAGATGCTGAACTCAACTTGTAGCCGATAGCGATCCCCACCACACGCTGGAAGCTAGTTAGCAAAGCTAAAAAAGCTAAAACAAGCTGTTTTTCAGTCGGGGAGCACTAACTCTTTAACTGTTTAACACAGGTGTGTCAAACTTCACATTTGGACGTCTCTTGAGTCAATGATGACCTCTAATAATTTCAAGGTCACAAAATAAAAAGGTCAAGGTCACAGGCTAGCCAATTATCTGCTTGTTTTACTTTCTTTTGTCTGAATTTCAGTTTTATTCAGAGTTGTTTAAATATTTTTGTTTGCAACTTATTTCTTGTTGTGTCTGCCTTTTTTTCTGTTTAATCTACTTTTTTGCAAATTTTTTTACATTTCTGCTCTGTTCAGCTTTTTTTAACAAATTGATTTTCCACTTTTATTTTCCTACTTTTAGCTAAAGTCAGCTGTTCAGATGGAACTCACATTAACAG